TATATATATTTTTTTTTTTTTTAATCACACATTAAAACAGAGATGTACAAATCCCAGGAGCTCCCTATGCTCCTTACAAATGACAGCGGCCTCCTAACTTTTGAATTTTTCTCTAGTCTAGTCTTGGAGCTGGAAAAGTATCGGTACATATACTTGTACCAAGTACGGTACTTGATCTGAACATCCCTAGTTTAAGTGATACCTTTTACTGGCTAACTTAAGTTATTAAAGATGCACACTTTAGCCTGATACAGGATTCCTGAATGTTTCCATTTTTAATAACTTAAGTTAGCCAATAAAGGGTATCACTAAGGCTGGGTTCACACCTGGGCGTTTTTCAGCGCTGATCGAATCGCTGAAAAACGCTCAAGCAGTGAAATCCTATTAACTCCTATGGGCATGGTTCCCACATGGGCGTATGTCAGCACGTTTTGACATGCTGAAAAACGCCCTACGGCCGAAATAGTACAGGAGCTTCTTTGGGGCGTATTTTAGCGTGTATCCATTGGTATTCCCAAGTGTGGCTCGGGGTTAACAAAGCGGTAACCCCGAGCCACATTTGGGAATACAGCATAGGTCTTACCTTGTCCGCGATCCCCGCTCTGTCCTCCGGGTGCTGCCGTCTTCCGTCCCTTGCGAGTGTCTGCGTCGCAGTTAGGCGGAACCGGCGGGAAGTTTGAAAGTTTAAAAAAAAAAACCCAGAAAAAAATAGAGAAAAAAGGAAAAAAAATAAAATAAATCCTACCACCAGGGAGGTCTAAAAACGAGCGTCAAACGTGCTAAGAACGAGCATAAAACGCGCCGGGTGTGAACCCAGCCTTAAGGTCCGTTCACATCTGAGCATAATCCCGCAACACATGTTCATTGTGTTGCCACTTATTTATTACAGGTATTTATATAGCACCGATAATTTACGCAGCACTTTACAAAGTTGTACATTCACATCAGTCCCTACCCTCAAGGAGCTTACAATCTAAGGTCTCTATCTCACATGCATACATAGAGGGCCAACTTAGAGAGGAGCCAATTAACCTTCCAGCATGTCTCTTTAGAGTGTGGGAAGTCTTTAAGGAGGACCAGGGACCCCAGGGCCGCAAGGCAGAAGCGCTAACCACTACACCACTGTGTTGCTACTAATTTTAACGGCACCCCAACACACCTCCTGGCTGCAATGCGTGGTACAACAATACTGTGTGTTGAAGTGGGAAAAAGTAGTGCATGTACTACAACACAATGCAACACATGGTATCGCTGCGCTGCAGCGCAAGGCAGCCAGTAGGTGCAATGGGGTGCCATACAAATGAATGGCAATGCAACAAAGCTAGCACAAAGTAACACACACTAGGTGTGTTGAACAATAGTGTGTGATTATCTGTGCAATTAACACACTTAGATGTAAATGCAACTTCAAACATTCTGCATTGATCAATAGCTAAAGCTGGCCATACACTAAATGGATTTCACAGAAATCAGATGCAAATCTAACACTTGGTGGCCCCGCTTGCTCAACAAGTTGATCATTCTGGGCCAAAAATTGTCATCTCAGTCACTGCTGCAGTCACTGTTTGGGTATTCTGACAACAGCGGGAGCTGGCTGTCAGAATACAATAGCGGATTAAGCCATCTGAGCAATGTAGCGTGGATGGAGGAATCTGTTAGATTGATTTAATTCAGACTGTAGGCTAAACAAATTAAATCTATTCATGTGTGGCCAGCTTACAATATGGCTTACTATTAGAGTGAGGCCAGCTTACAATGTCTGCAATGCAAGGAATTATTATAAATTTTGAGGTTCCCAGCAAGCGTAGGACCGGTGTCCGCATCAGAGCCTGCACAGCCCTGCTGAGAACCCGCACAATCCACCTGAGACCCTGAAGACACCAGGGTGCCACCCCGGAACAACAGAGTATGTAGCTTCATATAATTTTGTATTGCTGGGATTTGTAGTCCTCTATAGACGGTCTCCTTACTTCCAGGGACCCCAGGGCCGCAAGGCAGAAGCGCTAACCACTACACCACTGTGTTGCTACTAATTTTAACGGCACCCCAACACACCTCCTGGCTGCAATGCGTGGTACAACAATACTGTGTGTTGAAGTGGGAAAAAGTAGTGCATGTACTACAACACAATGCAACACATGGTATCGCTGCGCTGCAGCGCAAGGCAGCCAGTAGGTGCAATGGGGTGCCATACAAATGAATGGCAATGCAACAAAGCTAGCACAAAGTAACACACACTAGGTGTGTTGAACAATAGTGTGTGATTATCTGTGCAATTAACACACTTAGATGTAAATGCAACTTCAAACATTCTGCATTGATCAATAGCTAAAGCTGGCCATACACTAAATGGATTTCACAGAAATCAGATGCAAATCTAACACTTGGTGGCCCCGCTTGCTCAACAAGTTGATCATTCTGGGCCAAAAATTGTCATCTCAGTCACTGCTGCAGTCACTGTTTGGGTATTCTGACAACAGCGGGAGCTGGCTGTCAGAATACAATAGCGGATTAAGCCATCTGAGCAATGTAGCGTGGATGGAGGAATCTGTTAGATTGATTTAATTCAGACTGTAGGCTAAACAAATTAAATCTATTCATGTGTGGCCAGCTTACAATATGGCTTACTATTAGAGTGAGGCCAGCTTACAATGTCTGCAATGCAAGGAATTATTATAAATTTTGAGGTTCCCAGCAAGCGTAGGACCGGTGTCCGCATCAGAGCCTGCACAGCCCTGCTGAGAACCCGCACAATCCACCTGAGACCCTGAAGACACCAGGGTGCCACCCCGGAACAACAGAGTATGTAGCTTCATATAATTTTGTATTGCTGGGATTTGTAGTCCTCTATAGACGGTCTCCTTACTCCCTCCCCTGGCTGTCTCTTCTTTCTCTTTCTCCTGGCTGCTTCTCCTGGCGCTCTCCTCTATAGTCCCCCCCAAAAAATGCTGCGTGCGGGACTAGAGTGTTTGGGTTTCGCTTGAAGAAACGGTGGCAACCCTAGATGCTGCTTATATGTAATCATATTTTACAGCTGCTGCCACTGGTGTACTGTAAGTTCTATTATGTATTTCTCATATTCTTTTCTTTTTATATTGTCTTTAACTCTGGCCATGTATATACTGTATGGAGACTGGTAAAACAGACAGCACAACTTCCTTTCTTTTATGCTTGCTTCAAGTATATTTCCACTTTTGCAACCAAATTGTGATAACACCTCCTTGATCTTTGTTACCATTCACATAGCATAACTTAAAAAATAGTTAAAATTGCAGCTTAACTTTTTAGATGCTATTTTCTGCAAACTCCAGGGCTGAAAAATATTGCTTAGTTCTCACTGTCAGAGGGGTATGGGGTAGTTTTGTTTGTAGATGTATACCTGTCTGTATTGTGCTGGCAGATTTCATTATCATTAACCTCCTTACAATCTTGTCTTGAATTGTATTGTGATTGTGATGTCTTCCTTATATTGTAAAGCACGGCGCACACTGTTGGCGCTATATAAATCCTGTATAATAATAATACTGATACTAGTGAAACTAGATGAACAGGGTTGTCTTTTCTAACAAAGGGTTATAGACCTCAAGACTTTGGGGGGAATGTATCGAAATTGGAGCAGACAAAGTTTGAAGCCATTGCCCATGGCAACCAGCTTCTCTCTTCTGTTTGTTTTGTCAAGCTTTGAAAATTACATGGCAGCTAATCGCTTGCCATGGATAACTGCATCAGATTCTGTCTGCTCCAGTTTTGAACAATTCCCCCATTGTATGTTAATGCACTTTTATAAAACTACCCTCTAGTCTTTCTCTTTATCTGCCTACTGCCATCTAGTCTAACCAGTAGAAGCTGTCTATATATAATCCTACTCCAAAGAAGCAGCTAGAAAGGTAAGAAATATGTTTTTTTGAAACGGTGGTTTCTCAGATCTGACTGCAAAAGTGGAAATACACTTTTGAGTGTTGGGAGGTAGGATGAGTGCAGACAGTAGCAGACGTATACACCACACCCCTTCTGTCTGCGATCAGCAGAACTTGTACAAACTTCCATAAAAGGTAGATTACACTGAAAAGCATTCCTGCCGCTTACTGTAATAGGGCGGACTGAGGCTGACATAATTAGGAAGCATAATGGGCTGCATTATTTCACAGCTGGACATGGAAATGCTAATATTACCTTTTATCTGCCACTATATCATGTTGATAGCACAGCTGCTTTTCCATCCTATATTGAACGTTAATAAGTAACTGTAACATGCTATCCCTAAACTGCTGCACACAGCTGTTCTGCTGCTTTACTGAAAAGCTCCCAGACAGTGCCGAGTTCCCTCGCCATGGAAAGAGGAAATAGAAGGCATGATGATTGGCATGCACATACCTGGTTCCAGCTGTTCTTTGTAGCCGACAAGTTTTCTTCTTTAGTGGCTGTTTCTCTGATGTGAGTCTGCTCTTTAAAGAGAAGCACAGGATACTGGGTGTGACCTTACAGGGGAAGAAGAGAAAAATTCAGGCAGCAATGAGAATGTGTAAACATAAAAGAGGGAGGGTTAGATACCCAAGGAGAGAAAGGGAGGGAGGGAAGTGTGAGGCGGAAGGTGCAGCCTCAGTGCATAGTTACATATTACATAGTATGTAAGGTTAAAGACACAGGTCCACCTAGTTCAACGTGTGTGTGTGTGTGTGTGTGTGTGTGTGTGTGTGTGTGTGTGTGTGTGTGTGTGTGTGTGTGTGTGTGTATATATAACGGTCACTAAGAATTCCCATACCCCTGCATTGAATTCACTGAGGAAATCATCTAAACGGTTTTTTAATGTGTCTATACTCTCAGTTGACACCACTACCTGGTACACAATTTTACTGCCCTCTCAGTGTAGAACCTGCTTCACTGTTTGAGATTAAACCTTTATTCCTCCAATGTGAAGTCCCCTCCTCTCTCTGCCGGCCTCCATCACCAAGATGGCCGCCGGCAGGTATCAGAAGAGCCCCTAGCGTGCGCAATGTCATCGCGCACGCGCGTGGTGACAGTCACGCGCATGCGCAGTGGCGAGTCGGCGGAGTGACACCCGGTAACCGCTCCAGATGTCACCCAGTCTCGGGACGCCCCTGAGACCCCGTTCACATGTAGCGACATACCTTTGCAGCGGCCGGGATAGCGCGACTTTCGGGGCGACGTTCCAGTGACGATCCAGCGACGGTAGCGCGACCTTCTCCGTCGGGCTCCATAGAAAAAAGCAAAATCCGCCGAAAAAAGGGTCCGGTAGAAGCGACTTGCGACCGCAACGCGCGACATGGAGTTAAGACAGCTCCATTGAATAGCATTGGCCGGCGACTTCTTGCGATATCGCGCTGCAAAAATGTGTGATATCGCGCGATAAGTCGCTACATGTGAACGGGGCCAGAGTGGTGGTTACGTGTCTAATTTAGGGACCTTACAGTAAACAGTTTATTGCTGATTCTACCACCATTATTAAACAGTTTGTACGTGCAATCATATCCCTTCTAAGGCCTTGTTCACACCAAATGCAGACCAGATCCGGTCAGGTTTCTGCACACGCAGTGTAGTGGGTTGTGCCGCGTTTTGGATGTGTTTTGGATGCGTTTAGGGACGGTTTTGGTTAAAAAAAAAAAAAAATTAAGTTTAACATGGACTTTCAGGCACTTGCATGCGTTTTTGATGCGTTTTAGATGTGTTTTTGATGCGTTCCAGACCAGATCCAGAGCAGGTAAAATAGGGCTTGCCGCATTTTTTTCATCCGGTCTGGATCTGGTCTGGATCCGCACGCTGCGATGTGAACTGGAGGTCAAAATACCATAGGAATACATTGGACGCAGTTTTGATCCGGTCTGCACCTGCTCTGGTCCGGATCTGCTCCGCGCTTGTTGTGAACAAGCCCTAAATCGCCTCTTCTTCAGAGAAATTAAGTGTAATTTTTGTGATCGTTCCTCATAACTTAGGTCCTCCAACCCCTTATTAATTGTATTACCCTTCTCTGGACTCACTCAAACTAAAGGACATTTGTATTGTGTGGATCGTTGACCAAAACCGCACCTCATACTGAAGATGAGGCCGAACCAGTGTTTGGTAAAATGGTAGAATCATGGATTTGTCTCTAAAGCACGCACCCTTTTTATTCATGATAGTAGTCGGCTTGTATTGTTAACTGCAGGCTGGCATTGCTTAGCTACTACTAAGTATGTGGTCTACTGGGACCCCCAAATCTTGTTCCCTCACCGATTTTCCAAGAGGAGCTCCGCCTAATGAGTAGCTTGCATGCATATTTTTAGCACCCAAAAGAGTAACTGTACATTTCTCAATATTGAACCTCTGCCATGTAGCTGCCCCCTACTTTATCGAAGTCTTCCTGTAACAATTTATTTACATTAACCTCTTTACGACCAACGACGTACATTGTACGTCTCTGGCATCTGGGCCGTTCAAACAGAAAGCCGCCCGGGACTCTGTTTAAACTTGTAAAGCCGACTGTCGGCTTTACAGTAGAAGTGATTCTGGCAACTCAGCTGTCGCCAGATCGCTTCTATGGGCCCCGGCCCAACAACCCTGCCGTGTTTCCCAGGCTCCGTTGCCCCTCCTTAGGGCCCGAGACTGGCTTCTTTGGTGTCGGTGGGAAGATGAGGAGGAGATCCCCTCCCCGTTCTATAGTACAAGGAGCGATGCAGATTGCATTACTTCCGGTCCCATAGCTGTCATTGCTGGGCTCCCTGCGCATCTTGACGTAAACACGCGTCGGGTGCGCCTATGTATGAAAACGACGAACGCGCTACACATGTTGGGTATTGCCACGCACGCCAGAGTGAGAGCAATAATTCTAGGGACAGTATTTGTGGGTATCTCTAAACTAATGACCCCGTGGGGGATTTTAAAGGGTTGTCTATGGACTTTTTGGGGTACTGAATTTTGTCGCTGTTTCACAGATGCACACAATTTTTAACCTGGGTATTTATTTACTCGTTGTAACCTCAACTTTTATATTTTATTTTTAAAAATGGGTATATTATTGTGTTTTGGGGCATGTAAGTAAATTTTTTACTAAATTTTGGGGTTTGATAAGGAGTTGCGCTAATATCGTGCAACATACAAATTTACAACTGCCACCATTCTATAGGATTTTGGCTTTCAGAAAATATATAATGTTTGGGGGTTTTAAGTAATTTTCAGGCCTAAAATGTGGAATATAACATGGGTGCCAAAAAAAAAAAAAAGGCCTCAGTCATGAAGGGGTTAAAGTGACACTAAACTCAGAAATTAAATCTTTAAAATGCATTTAAGCACCTTAACTATTACCAAAAATGTATCATATTTGTTTAGCGCTCAGCTTTAGGAGAAATTTCTTAAATGGCTCCATGAAGAGGGGGCTTAAACTTTCTTTGGAGAAGTGTCAATTCTGCTTGCCCTCAGTTACCTATTTGGGACACGTTGTCTCGGCAGAAGGTGTATCAACACATCCCAAGAAACTAGAAGTCGTAGCCATGTGGCAGAGACCTCGTACTGTTACAGAACTTTGATCCTTTTTGAGGGTCTGCTCTTATTATCGAAGATTCATGGGATAGTTCTCCCAGATTGCTCGACCCTTAAACAAACTTTTGAGAGTAGATGGAGAAGACAAATCGATGTTTCCTGAGTCAGGACCCACAGCCCAGGGACCCAGGAAGTCTAATGAATAAATTAAAGGAGAATGGACTGAGCGATGTGAGAAGGCCTTCTTACAACTGACAAGAAGCCTAAATCAAGCTCCTGTGCTAGCATATGCTGATCCCACTAAACCGTACGAGCTGCACGTTGATGCTAGTAGAGATGGTTTGGGAGGAGTGTTGTACCAGGAGCATGATTACCTACTACGGCTTGTGGCATATGTTAGCCAAAGCTTAAAGTCTTCTGAGAGAAATTACCCTACCCACAAACTGGAGTTCCTGGCCTTCAAGTGGGCAGTCGTGGATAATTTGAAAGAATATCTATATGGGGCAATTTTTGTAGCAACAATTCCATTGACTTACATCCTTACGACTGCAAAGTTGGATGCGACAGGACATCATTGGTTGGCTGCTCTGTCTGGGTTTTAGTTTAGTTTGAAGTACCGGCCTGGAGTTGGACATTGGTATGCTGATGCCCTAACCAGAAGACCACACAACACTGAGGACAGTGAAGAGGAGTGGACTTATTTTGTTCCAGAGGGAGCCTTATGCCAAGTTGTGGAGAATCGAGCAAAGGGGGCTGTCGGAGCAGAGGCCTTTGGAAATATGGCTCCAGGAATCCTTAAGTTGTACTGTAACCCCTCTCAGTTGAGGAATGACGGGTTGCCTACTTTCACCAAGAAAGATTTGAGAGAAGATCAAGCCAGAGATCCTCTGATTGGACTGATGTTGGAGGCATTAAAGAGTGGCAGAAGAGAACTTCTATTGACAGATTCTCCCAAGGAGGCTTGACTGATTAATAAAGAGTGGCCCCTCAGATGGTCTAGAAGAACGCCTACAGCTGTTCCTTCCAGAGAAACACAGAAGAAATGTACTAAGAGCACTGCATGACGAACGTGGTCACCAGGGGTCCAAAAGAACTTTCAAGTTAGTTTGTGATCTCAAGTTGAGAGCTACTGTCACTCTTGTCTGCGCTGCATTCAGAGGAAAACGCTACCCTCTAGAACTGCCCCAAAGGTCCATCTTCAGAGCCAAGGACCCTTGGGTCTGGTGTGCATTGGCCTCCTGTGCCTGGAACCAGACACTAGTGGACAGGGAAATATCCTAGTGGTAACTGACCACTTTACTCATGCTCAGGCTGAGACTTCGAGAGCAGATTTATCAGACAACTCCTAAGTCTATTGGGGATCCAGAAAACCAGAACTTCTTCCCATCACCCTCAAGGTGATGCTCAACCTGAGAGATTCAATCGTACTCTTCTTGAAATGCTGGGGACATTATCTACAGAAGAGAAGCAGCATTGGAGTAGACATATCTCCGCAATCGTACATGCATACAACAGTACAGAAAATTATGCCACAGGGTATTCGCCTTATGTTTGGGAGAGAAGCTTGACTACCTGTAGATTTAGCCTTTGGCCTGTCAATTGATCAGACGTCTACTGCTACGCTTGTTGCTTCCGCCTTTGAGAAAGCCCGTTTGTAAGGCTATGGCCGGAAGTTCGTGTGCTACTGCGAATGCGCAGGTCCCAGTCTTCCACATTGTTGGGAAACATGCACTAGTGCGCAGGCTTACGCAACATAGCGGACGCGCAAAGACACGCTAAAGTAATGCACAGGAAGTGACACAGCTCCCTCTGATTGATGGATCTATTTAAACCAGCCTGCCCAGTTGACTAGTGCTGAACGGGCTTTGAGCTTGTGCCCTTGCTTCCTGTTTCTCTGTTCGTTGTTCACCTGTTGCCTTGACCCGGATTGCCTTGACTACGCCTGATTGCTGCCTGCCTCTGTCCTCTGCTTGTTCCTGGATTTGCTTCTGTCTTCTCCCTTGGTACCGTGCTGGCGGACTGGTGTGACCCTTGGCTTGTCT